ATCCTACTATAATTTAAGGTATATCCTTAATTAAGGGATATTGAAGTCTCTGGGAAGCTGCCTGGGAACCCAGCCCTGCAGTTTGTCGGGGTTGGGTTTAGGGTTTAGGGGTTTAGGGTTTAGGGTTTAGGGTTTAGGGTTTAGGATTTAGGGTTTAGGGTTTCAGCACTCACACTCGGGTTTACACTCTCACAACTCGGGCAAGCCAGGCGAGGATCCATAGGACACTCACACTCGGGTTTAGGGTTTAGGGTTTTAGGGTCTAGGTACAATGTATGGGAGTTCTTCTTTTGAACTGTTTTTTTGGAACCATTTAGGATGTATAATGTATGGCAGTTCTTCTTGTGAACTGTTTTTTGGAACAACGTTGTCATATTTATACTCCAATATATTCTACCTGCTATATCATACTGTATCGTAACCCTATACCTTGGGTTAGACTCTTCTTTGATTGCTGGGGTCTGGTCTTACAGCTCCAATCCCGGAATCTTGGCTTATCCCACATAACAGGGTATAGGATCTCTGTCTCCCTCTCTCTCTGTCTCCTTCCCGTTGCAAGAGGTATATGGTGTAGGGTTTAGGATAAGCTTCACCTTCCAGAAACCATGTGATACCCATTTGTTACTCTACGGGGCCTCGTAGTGCTTCAGAGGATAAACTGCCACCACTAGCTAGTGCGGGCCCGGGAAAGCCCTATAAAGAATAAAAGCGCAGTAGATCGACCCAAAGCCTGGTTCCTCCGCCATATGGCGCCCAAAAATACCGAAATCCTAAATCCGAAGCAGACCGTTTCTCGGGGCATCCTTGGTCTTGAACTCCTTGATGTACCGCTTCTTAACCTCGCATCATGAGTTTAGCATGTCGCATGTACGGTTGAGGGTTTTGATGAGGGTGTGAAGGTTCCATGAACCATGCACCCTGGTGAAGCCGAAACCTTAAGCCCTAAACCCTACAAATCCCAAAGACCCTCAAGCAGACTTCAATGGATTCTCTCTACGGTTCCGTGTACTCATATAATAAGTATGTACCTGGGCCGTAAAGTAGTTCCTATAAAGGGACTGGGTTTGGGTCCAAAAATACTTACTTTCTGAATACATTAACCGTCATTAACCGTTCAAGCAGTCCTTATCCAATCCTTAAAGTAACCCTTGAAAGAGAGCAGAAGACAACCCTGAAAAGAACCCTTAGACCCTTCAGGGTTTTTCAAATTCTGCAGTGTGCGTTCGGGCATCTATCTTCTCTGTTACAGGCTCAAGGCTCAAAAGCTCTGGGCTCAAACAGGGCTTACGGGCTAGGGCTAGGGTAGGGTTTAAGTAAGGCTTTTGGGCTATGAGTTTTCAGGGTTTTGAAGCAGGGGTTTGAGTAGGGTTTACGATTAAAGGCTTCAGGGTTGTAGGGTTTATAAAGTCGGGCCCGGTGAGCGCGATCGGGTTTGGGATGGTTTAGGGGATAGCACTTCGTGCTTACACGGTGTCGGGGTCGGGTTGAGGAAAGTTGAGGACTACGTTACAGACGTCCGCGAAGAAACATCTTAGTCATGCGAGACATGGGGTTGAACGACAGATGTTCTTCTACAACACCCTGGGCCCTAAGCACTTTGCAGATGGCTTGGAAACACCCTTAAACCATGGGCCGGACACGTGAAACCCTGCTTCCGAAACCCCTTAACCCCTCGAAACCTGTTATATAACCCCTTCCGGACCGTCTGAAATCCACCCCCCACCAGGGAGAAAATACTCTACCCGCCTTTGGCTCCAATGTCTCAGAGTTCACAGAGTGTGCCATGCTTTAGAGTCAGGGCTGAGGGTTGGGGATTGGATTGTCCCCTGTGCATCTCGAAGCATGAACAATACGATCACTAAGACACACACACACATACTGGTACGAGGAAGACGACAAGTGTTCACATACGCATACTTGTGCGTACATGTGGGTGCACAAATGTCTGTGTGTACTGTATGTACCTATGTATGTCTGTATGTAAGTAAGAATGTATGCATGTATGTCTGCCCCTAAATCCCAAAATCTCATCCCCGCAAACGAAAACCTATCCCCTGTTGTGTTTGCCAGCTTGGGCCCTATCCCAAACAAGTGAGGACCCCTCCACCCTGGTTTATCCAGGCTTAGCCGCAAACCTCAGCCAACTCCCTGAGTCGTCAAACGACTGCCTTCCACACCCCGAAATGGAAAACTGGAAAACTCTTCAAAGTACTCCGCCTGACACCATAAGCTCACGCGAGCCTCAATCTTAAAGATACAGGCTTAGACCGCAAAGGTGATCTGAGTGGCTGGAATCAGCCGCATGTTGATCAGTCGGTGCCAAAACCTGGTCTGCATGGCTTAATGGCGCTCCATATCATGAACCATGAAACGTAAACTCAAAATGCTGCTCGAAGAACATAGTGGGTGCGCGCGTTACCGTGCAATATGCAGGCTACTGTGTTCATCACCTACCTTGCCGGAAGCCCACATCCTCAGAGCTGCTTGTGAGTCAGGATGGGTCGTGGGAGCTTAATCACTTAGTGTAATTTATAACCCTTCACAACACAGGAGCTCACAACACAGGAGCTATAACACCCCGAGAACCAAAAAACATAAGAAGTCGCGCAATCCACAACCAGCAAAGCACGGCTTAACCCCTCTGAAAGTAGATGGCCAAAAACACGAATTAGTAACATTCGCATCGGTCTATGCTTCTGTATAAACACATGGTGAACAATGACTGCATCACAGTAACACTCACATAAGAACCCTAAACCCTAAACCCGAATCCGGGCATGTAGGGCCAGAGGGACAGACCAGCTGCTCTTTCAGGATCTCGGGAGGGCCATGGTCTCTAGGACTCTAGGCTTTAGGAGTTGGGGTAATCAGGACAGTTTCCCTGAAGGATTCCTGTAAGAGTTCCTTTAAGGGCGGCTCTAAGGGGTTTGGGCTTGGGGTTTTGGAGTTTGTTGTAGCCATGGAGGTTTCAGGGCAAACTTTAGGCCTCTCAGGGCTTCAGAGTTCTCAACCTGTACATATACAAACAAGCTGGGGCATGTACTTATATAGGGATTTTGGAATCCGGCTGGTAAAGGTGGCCCCGAGCATCGGGGCTTACAAAGCCTTGAGAGGGTGGGTTTTTAGAGTTAACTGCTAAAGGGGCTTCTGGGCTTTAGAAACTTGGGAGTCTGAGGGACCCTGCAGACAGGAAAAGTGGTTCTATTCTAGGGCTTGGGGGTTTAGGATACGCAAGCTGCTCACAATGATGTCCTTGCTTGCTGCTTGAGTATCTAGCGGGTTCGCGGTCTTCCGCATGATTTAGGGCAATATAGGGGCCTTAATAAATAGAACAGGATTTTGGGGCCCATTATATGATAATCACAATAAGGATCCCCCCCCAAATAGTATTGGTAATTATTTATAGGCCCCTACAGTCACCTTCCTGGTCACTCCATCCTAAGTAGTCGAAGGCAGGGGGCGGAATGGCCAAGACGAGCTGACTGTCGTCGTAGATGTACCTTGGATTTAGGGCTCTAGGGTGGAGCCGTGTAGGGTTTGGGGGTGGAGGCTTTCGACTCTCACTTCTTGGCGAACCGGAGGCGAATTCAGGTGATATAGGTCAGACACCTGAACCCTAAACCCTAAGCCCTAAACCCTATACCCTGATGGCAGAGAACTATCGTGACGGTGTCGACCCTGGTCTGCCCCACGACTTCGCCAAAGTGCGGCGGCAGAGAGAGCCAAACACAAAGAATGCAGGCTCAGGATGTCGAATACTCCGGGCGAATGCCTTTTAGAGATCTGAGAACGCTAGGTAAACAGAACCGTATACCCCAAGCCCTCAAATCTAAACCACAAAGCCTCTAAAGGTCTCCCTGAATCCCCTAAACTAAACCCGAAAACCCTAGAC